GCATATGGGGCCAGCGCCCTACTCCTTTGAACCACAGGTGCCGCCCCTGATTCTTTTGCCTCAGCCTCCAGAGTAGCTGGCACTACAGGCACCCACCACAACACCCAGCTATTTTATATTGCAGTTTGGCCAGGGCTGGGTTTGAACCTGCCGCCCTCAGTATATGGGGCTAGCATCCTGCACACTGAGCCACAGGCGCCACCTAGGACCAGATTTTCTAAACATCCTACAGTACATAGGACACTTTGCCTAGTGGAACAGTTGTCCCACCTAAAATATCAGTTAAGCCTTTGTTGTGAAATATTTCAATAAAATATCTCCCTAAAAAGAAATCGATTATATATTTTTTTAAAGAAATTAATTAGGGTGGCGCCTATGGCTCAAAGGAATAGGGTGCCGACCCCATATGCTAGAGGTGGTGGGTTCAAACCCAGCCCTGGCCCAAAACTGCAAAAAACAAACAAACAAAAGAAATTAAAGAGTTGAAATTTGAGCAATAATTACAGTAAGCCTATTGCTAGCTATAGTGTAGTGATAACACATCAGGATTGTTTATGAAATATCTTTTTCAGAGATCTATGTATAAAAGGAGGGAGGCAGCTAGGCAAGATGGTTCATGCCTGTAATCCTAGCACTCTGGGAGGCCAAGGAGGGTGGATTATCTAAGCTCAGGAGTTTAAGACCCAGTCTCTACTAAAAATAGAAAATAACCCAGTGTGGTGGCACATGCCTATAGTGCCAGGTACTTGGGGGGCTGAGGCAAGAGGATTCCTTAAGTCTAGGAGTTTGAGGTTGCTGTGAGTGATGCCATGGCACACTAGCCTGGGGCAACAGAGTGAGATTCTTTTTCTCCCAAAAATAAATAAATAAAAATTAAATTAAAAAATAACCACATTGGTGGCACCCATAGCTCAGTGGATAGAGTGTTGGCCACATACACCGAGGCTGGTGGGTTCGAGCCTGGGCTTGCTAAACAATGACAACTGCAACCAAAAAATAGCTGGGCGTTGTGGCGGGTGCTTATAGTCCCAGCTACTCAGAAGGCTGAGGCAAGAGAATCATATAAGCCCAAGAGTTTGAGGTTGCTGTGAGCTGTGATGTTACAGCACTCTACCGAGGGCAGCATAGTGAAACTTTGTCTCAAGAAAAAGAAATGAATAACCACATTAGTAGATAACATGGATAAATTGGTTTGATTGTTTTGAGGAATAAAATTCAACATTCTGTCATAATTCATAGTGAAAAACAAAAGAGGAAACATCATTACCAACCTTGCAGAAGTTGAAAGGATTATCAAGGAATACTATAAGCAGCTTTGTGGAAGCAAATTAGACAATTTAATTAATTATTTATTTATTTAGAGACAGAATCTTACTTTGTCACCTTCAGTATGGTGCCATGGCATCTCAGCTCATAGCTACCTCAAACTCTGGGGCTTAAATGATTCTCATGCCTCAGCCTCCCAAGTAGCTGGAACTAAAGGTGCCTGCTTCAATGCCCAGCTATTTTTTAGAGACAGGGGTCTTGTTCTGGCTCAGGCTGGTCTGGAACCTGTGAGCTCAGGCGGTCTACCCACCTTGGCCTTCCAAGTGCTGGGATTACAGGCGTGAGCCACTGCACCTGGTCAAATTAGACAATTTTGATAAATACCTAGAGTCACAAATTACTAAAACTGACTCAAAATAAATAGGAAATCTATAGACTTGCAGACCTATAGCAAGTAAAGAATGTAAATTAGTAATTTTAAAATCTTCCCACAATGGCTCGGCGCCGGTGGCTCAAGCGGCTAAGGCACCAGCTGCATATACCTGAGCTGGTGGGTTTGAATCCCAGCCTGAGCCCAGGCCCGCCAAACAACAGTGATGGCTGTAACCATAAAATAGCCAAGCATTGTGGCAGGTGCCTGTAGTCTCAGCTACTTGGAAGACGGAGGCAGGAGACTTGTTTGAGCCCAGGAGTTGGAGGTTGCTGTGAGCTGTAATGTCACAGCACTCTACCCAGGGCGACAGCTTGAGGCTCTGTCTCCAAAAAAAAAAAAAATCTTCCCACAATGAAAAGCTCAGGCCTACATGACTCATTGATGAATTGTAACAAGCATTTATATAATAAATAATACTAATCCTTCACAAACTTCATCTAAAAAATACAGTAGAGAATACTTTACAACTATACAAGATCTGGCATTATCGGTTTTTTTTTGTTTGTTTGTTTTTGAGACAAACCCTCAAGCTGTTGCCCTGGGTAGAGTGCCATAGCATCACAGCTCATAGCAATCTCCAACTCCTGGGCTCAAGTGAGTCTCCTGCCTCCACCTCCCAAGTAGCTGGGACTATAGGCGCCCACCACAATGCCCAGCTATTTTTTTTTTGGTTGCAGCCATCATTGTTGTTTGGCGGGCCTGGGCTGGATTCGAACCTGCCACCTCAGGTATATGTGGCTGGTGACTTAGCTGCTTGAGCCACAGACACCGAGCTGATCTGGCATTATCTTGATACCAAAACCAAACAAACATAATAAGAATAGAAATTAACAGATCAATATTCCTCAAAAAATTGATTTATAATTCCACATCAAAATCTTTGCAAACAAAATCTAACAGTATATATAAAAGATTATATGTCATGACCATGTTGAATTTATCCCAGGAGTATAGGGTTGAATTAACTTCCAAAAATCAATTAATGTGATATTATCATATTAATAAGGATTATAAGCTATAAGATCATCTCAATAAAGACAGAAAACTACTTAACAAAATGATACCCCTTTGTGCTAAAAGTAGGAATAAAAGGGAACTTAACTTGATAAACAACTCTATGAAAGACCTACAGGTAAAATAAATACTTGATGTTGAAAGACTGAGTGTATTCCCCCTAAGATTTGAAGCAAGGCTCTCACTACTGTTATTCAGCATTGTACTAGAGCTTAAACATTGCAGGTGGTGCTATCAGGTAAGAAAAAGAAATAAAAGGCATCTAGATTGGAAAAGAAGTAACAAAACTGTCTTCATATGTAGGAGATAGGATATTGGATATATTATAGAAAATCTGAAGGACTCTACCAAAAAACCAACTAGACCTGAAAAACTAATTAGTAAGTTCACAAGATGTGGAAAATTGATATACAAGGATCAACTATATTTCTACATATACGCAATAAACATTCCAAAAATGAAAAAAAATTCTATTCACAATAGCATCTAAAGAATACAATACGGCTCGGCGCCTGTGGCTCAAGTGGCTAAGGCTCCAGCCACATACACCTAAGGTGGCGGGTTTGAATCCCCAGCCCGGGCACACCAAACAACAATGATGGCTGCAACCAAAAAATGGCCGGGCGTTGTGGCGGATGCCTATAGTCCCAGCTACTTGAGAGGCTGAGGCAGGAGACTC